TATAATTTTTTCCATTCCATTTTCTAATTCATTAATTCCCCATTCATCTGTGTTTAGTAGCTAATAAATCTGCCCATGGATCTCCTGATTTTGTTTATTTTTCAATGCTATCATTTCCTGACAGCCCACTTGGATTTAACAGCAGCTGGCCAGTTGGCTGCCTTCAAGTGGCTCCTGAGGACCCGGAGAAGGAGCATCTCATGAGGATCTACAACCGATTCAAGATCTGAGGCCTCCTTTCCAGTTCTCCTGAGCTCTAGAAGGCCCAGATACCTGAGGGAAAAGGTGCATCTTCCCCAGGAAAAATGAGATGAAATGTTCTAACAACCAAGCTGCAAGGGAGGAAGCAGATTGAATTTGATGAGAAAAAATAATGCAGTAAGATGGGGTATCACGAGAAATTTCTATCAGTTATATAAACATCGTTTCATGCATTAATGTTCAAAATCAGTAAATTAAGGCTTAAAATGGCCTTCTTAGATGTTTTGACATTAATTTCCTTTTTACTGATTTTAAAATTTTGACCATGGCTTTCTTTGTCTCTGCATGAGCCCGAAAGAGCATAGCCAATCCTTTTATTTTCAAACCTTTGAATCACTTTTTTCAGGTTGTAAATAGTGGTATATGATGGTATAGTTTGGAAATCTATTGTTCTACTTAATTAAGAGAATCTTAATGCTTCTTTGAAAAGCCACCATTTCCCAGGCAGAGATGACACACTGAACTCCTGCCCCATCTCTCTCCTTATCCTGACACCCTGCCAATGATAGTGAGGATATTCCAGTCCTGGATGCCAACAAACTGGCAGTTTCTCTGGGGAAAGAAATGAGAGGTTTAGTTTCTAAAGAAATTTAAATCTCTCCAAAGCGATCAAGGAGTTGGGGAGTGGGAGAAGAGATGGAGGACCATTGTGAGAAGTCTACATCCAATAAACAATTTCTAGAAAGAGAGAATAAAGGATTTATTTAAAAAGAAAAAAAGTATTCAGGGGCACCTGGGTGGCTCAGTGGTTGAGCGTCTGCCTTCGGCTCAGGTTGTGATCCCGGAATTCTAGGAGTCCTGCATCAGGCTCCCTACAGGGAGCCTATTTCTCCCTCTGCTTCTCTCTGTGTCTCATGAATAAATAAATAAAATATTTTAAAAAATTAAATAAGTATTCAGCCCTGAAAGCCAGAAAGGGCCCACTGAATACCCAGGACAGTAAATGAAACAAATCCCCACACCAAGGACCAAACCTTCATTTTATAGATGAGAAAAACCCAAAGAGAAAAAAAGCAGAGTGCCCAAGAGCACAGGGGAGCCAGCTCCAGGACGGGGACACGGTTCTCTTCCTACACTCTCATGCTGCCCAGTGCCCCGTCCCAGGACAGTCTGCTCATCCACCCACCACCTTCCTCCTAAAGCCAACCAGAAGCGCCAGGGTGAGGCATCAGAACAGCCTCACCACTCCCCAGCTGTGAAATGGGGCTACTAACCCCAACTACTGGGAAGACCCAATGGTTCATGGATCCAGAGCCAGGTGAGTTAGTTAGCAGTGGGCATGGTCCTGGCTCAGCCACCTTTGTGGACCTCAGGGTGTCCAGGAACCAAGGGCAGCAGCAGCAGCTGGGGACGGCTCTGAAATGCAAATGTCACCTCCCTCAATCCTGGCCTCCTGACAGAGCCTCAGAGCGGGGGGGGGGGGGGGGGGCAGAGGGGCAGCTCGCTGGTCAAGAAGCCTGCCCTGCAGTGACCATGATGTTGAGACAGGGCAAGCAAGAGCCAAGTCACTACTTGTGTGGCTGCGCCACCTAGTGGGAGACAGGCCTAACAGACCTGCACCTTCAGGGAGCGTCCCCAGCGCCCACTCCTCCCGCCCAAGGCCCTCTGGCCCTCCAACCCTCCTGCCGGCCGCCTCCAACAGACCATCCAGACACAAAGGACAGTCTGCGTTGTCTTTTCGAACACTGTGTACCCAGCACCTAAGCACCATGACTGAAAATGGGCAGACAGGTGACAAACTTGTTGAATGGATAAAGACAAAAAGGCACAAGTCCTAACTTCTAACTTGTCCACAAGATATACAAACTGGCCCCAGTTTGGGCCAGTTAAACAGGTGGAAGGAGATGGGGGCACCAAGCCAACACCAGCACAGGCAGGTTCCAGGCGCAGTCTGGGCACCCTTTTGGGTGGTCTGCTTGGAGCCTGGAAGGGGTGGGAGGCAGGGCATCACAGGTCTGAATTCTGGGGCAAGACCAGGATGGAAAGTAGCAGGAGGGGCAGGGTGAGGAGGAGGACACAGCCAGGCCCCCAGCAGTGTGTGGGGGGGTGCTGGCTGTGAGGAGTGGGGACACCAGGGGCAGGGGCAGCACCAGCAATGAGACAGGGAGGAGGGGCTGCATGCATACAAGAGCCCCCAACAACCCCAGCATGCCCAGGGGAGATGGGGACTTATGGGGGCTTCCTGTTTCCTAAGAGCCCCCTTCTTCCATAAGCACACCTAGTTGTGTCCCCCCCCCCCCCCCAGTCCTTCCTGTATGGCTGGAAAGATGCTCTTCCCTTCCAGACCCTTGTCATGCTCCACAGCACCATGGCTCCAAGAGAAGCAGGACTGGTGAGAGGCGGCACCATGTGCCCAGTGTTTATCCTGTGCCAGGCATCACCCTGAACACCATGAAATATAACCCTCTCGTCCTTACCACAAACCAATGAGGCACCCCATTTTACGTGTCAAGGAGCGGCAGCAATGGTGCAGCCACCAGTGGGCCAGGTCCACCCAGCTTGCCTCCATCCAGCACAGGGTGGCACCTTGCTCACTCCCAACCTGGAGCACACAGAACAGGCCCCCCCTCTGCACCCATAAGGGAGCCGTGTCGTTTCACAGATGGGTAAACAGAGGCCCTCATCTTCTGTAGTGCCTCCTAGCAGACGGCACTCACATCAGCCCCGAGCACAGAGCAGAGGCCTCAGAGTTCTGACACATCTGCCCAGCAAGGTGAGCCACCATAACCTCAGGGATGGTCCCAACATCTCCACCCTCACTGGCTCCTGGGTCTCTGATCAGAGAGAAGGAGTGGGGGGGCATGTGGAAGGGGGAGGAGGTAGAGAAGGAGGAGGAAGATGAAGGAGAAAGAAAGAGGTGAGGTGGGAAGGAGGAGGAGGGAGGGATTCTCAAACTTTGGAAAACACAGCAAGTCTCTGCAGGCAAATCACACCAAAAAAAAATAATTTTTTTTAAGTCACTAGATCTTTCTTTATAAAATCACAGCAAAACACCAACTTGCTTTTAAGTGAAACCTAGAAGGAGCAAATTAACTTCCTTAACATAAATGAAAATACACATCTAAGCCAGGATGTGCATCAGCAACAAGGAGCAGGACAAATCACATGCTAATTACTGTCTGAATGAAGATCTAGTTGTTAATTGCAGCGTGTTTCAGGCATTTCCACATGAGCAACTCACCTGAAAAGCTTTTCAATTTGTATGTCGGGAAAGTTGGTAATTAAACACTTCAAATCCCCTATTGACTTTATTAGAAATATGATAATCCCTACACAGTTAGATTATAATTATTTTATTTGTCAAATGAAGTTGGTATTTAGTTTAGGAAAGTATTAGCCTCACAGCCTTTTTTAAAACTCTCCTGGGACCTGTACTCGACAAGGAGTGTCTGGAGCTGCCCATAAATGGCTGCAGAATCCTGAGAAGGCTCACCAGGCGTGCAAGGAATGGCATCTACAACCACTGATGCCCTTCCTCGGCCTTGTCTTCTCAGGACCCTGACTTCGTCCACTCAGAGACTGCCCCCCTTTCTGAGCGACAATTGCTAAAAGCAGTCTTGTGATACAATGTCACTTTGGTAATGTCTCTGATAAAGAATTTATAAAGTGCAGGAGCCTGGGTGGCTCAGCAGTTGAGCATCTGCCTTTGGCTCAGGGCGTGATCCTGGTGTTCCAGGATCAGATTCTGCATCAGGCTCCTGCAGGTAGCCTGCTTCTCCTTCCTCTGCCTGTGTCTCTGCCTCTCTCTGTGTCTCTCACGAATAAATAAATAAAATATTAAAAAAAAAAGAATTAAAAAACTGCAACCCCAATGCAACCATCAGACAACACCAAACAAAACCAAATTGAGGGATAGTTTACAAAATGATTGGCCTATACTTGGCCACAATGTTAAGGCCATAAAAGAAAAACAAACAAAAACAAAGAAGCCTCTGAGCAATTACTCCAGAATTATAAAGGGACATCACAAGGTTGGATCCAGAAGGTATGATGTTAAGTGAAATCAATCAGACAGAGGCAGACAAATACCATACGATGCACTTAGATATGGAGTATAAGAAACAAAACAAATGAACAAATAAAAAAAAAACAGATTCTTAAATACAGAGAACCAACTGGTGGTGCTGGGGGAAGGGGGAGGTGACTTGATACAAAGGAGATAAAGAGTTATGTATAAATATCCAGTCATAAAATAAATAAGTCCCAGAGAGGAGAAGTACAGCATGGAGAATATAGTCAACAATGTGTGGCAACCTCACTTACAGGGATGAGCATGAAGTCACGTAGAGACTTGTTCAATCACTATGTTGTGCACTGACACGGATGTGACTCGCCCACCTGACACTGATGTGACTCGCGCACCTGACACTGATGTAACTTGCGCACCAACACTGATGTAACTCGCCCACCTGACACTAATGTGACTCGTGCACCTGACACTAATGTAACATCGTGTGTTAATTATACTACAGTTAAAAAAAAAAGATCCTACAAAAAAGGAGACATCATTGCTCAATACAATTTGTAATCCTGGACCACACCTAGGTCCAGGAAATCAATGTTTCAGGCTCTGAAGAACACATGGTTTAAGTATTAATAAGGTCTCTGGGTTAGTTAGTACTGTCTAATTAATGCTAATTTCCTGAGTTGGGTCACAAAGTGTGGTTCTATGAGAGAATGTTCTCCTTCCCAGTGATGGGGGTGTCGCTAAACACCACAATCAAGAAAGAACTGAGACATCTTCGGAGCAGCTTTTATTGCAGCGTGGGGACAGACCTGTGGGCGAGCACTGCCCTGGGATTGTGAGGCCAGACTGATTGTATACTCTCAGGTTTGGGGCGGGGAAGATAACGTGTCTCAGGAATTTCTGCATGTTGAAAGCAGGTGTCCAGGACCCCGGAGGTCTGGCTGGGAGCAAGGTAAGATTGTTTCCAGTCTCTCCAAAAACTCGAAGGCAGCCTTGAGTCCCCTGAGGAACACCATGCTCTGCGGATCTCAGGGGATGACATGATTCTTCATTGGTTTGCCATCTGGGAGACATGGAGACCGATTCAGTCATTCACTCAACAAATATGTGTTAAGCATATTTGTATACAGCAATTAGGTGCCAGACCTCGTTCAAGGTACTGGGGACAGCGTGGTTTAAAAAATAAAGTCCCGGGGATCCCTGGGTGGCTCAGCGGTGTGGCTCAGCGGTTTAGCACCTGCCTTCAGCTCAGGGTGTGATCCTGGAGTCCTAGGATCGAATCCCACATCAGGCTCCCTGAGTGGAGCCTGCTTCTCTTTCTCTCTCTCTGTCTCTCATGAATAAATAAATAAAATCTTTTAAAAAGTAATAAAAAATAAAGTCCCAACTCACAGGGAAATGAAATGACTCCAGGGTTTCTGGCAAATCCATGCATGTGCTCCCCACCACCTCCACCAAAATACCCCCCAATTCTCATACCTCACCCATGTCCCCTGCCTTGGGACGCAGTGCCCCACTCACCCAGTGACTGAGTCAGGAGCCCTGCTGCTCGGTCACCCCATCAGCCATATCCAGCCTGTCATCCAGCTCAACTGGTGTGTCACTGCTTAAGTACCTCAGGCTCCCTGCACCTCCCCCCATGTCCACTGCCCGCTGAGGAGGCCTCCCCCACCCCCACCCAGACTGTCCACACGGCCTTGCAGCAGGTGTCCCTCAGCCGGCTGGTGGACTCAACAGCCGGGGAGATCTTTCCAGAACCGTCCTCCCATCACATCACACCCTGCTCACAACACTTCGGGGGCTTCCTGTTGCACCTGGAAACAAAGACTCCCTTCTTTCCTCTTACTTATTTTAATGATAGCCTCATGCATGCAATTCCTTAATAAACAGCTGACTCTCCAACCACACACCCGGCTCTGCACACGACTGTGAGCACGCAGTTGGCATTCAAATTAATATTTGTTTAATCAGGTTAACAATTAAATAATTAAGCAATTATTTGCTAATTATAATTAAGCAATTAAAATAATTAATGTCTGGTTTTGGCCAGTGAATGGAGATTCACTGCCACTGGGGACCTGGAGGGGGGTGGGTAGGAACTGTAGGAGGTGCAGGCCTGGCTGATCTGGGGGACACACGGACAGATGCGCCAGCTGGGGGCTGACATCAGGGAAAGGCACAGGCCATTGTCCTAACTGGAGCTGTACACCCGAGCTCACCCCTTCAGCATCCTTTATCTATCAGAGGAGCAGGCTGGGGTACACCTGTCCCCTGCTGTCAGGCATGCTGTCAATCCCTTGCATAGAACTCTCCCAACTGTGCCTGTTCTAGAGAACATTCTGGAGAACTGTTGAATATGCGTGCAGTCAACCTGTTTTGCTCAGCATCCTCCTACCTGCCCCCACCCCAGGACAAGAGCACAGCACCCTCCATGTGGGGAGGCAGGGTGCTCAGGGAAGGCTGCCTGAACCGAACTGGAAGTTTTCTGGTATGAAATGCTTTCAAAAGGAGGGAACACAGCTGTGATCCTTGATCACATTCATTCATTTTATTCTTTGGGGGACTTGGAATCCATCAAGCATATCAAATTATGGCAAATGATCCCAGACTACGCCTCATTTCAAACTGCTGATGGGATAGAAACATCAATGCTGTTCTAAAAATAATAATAAAAAAATTTTGCAGTTCCGGTATTTCACATTTAAATTCACTTCCTTCCTGGGTATCATTATTAGCTGAGAAGCGTCATCCTGCTCTCACGGCCACCATGGTTTCCTACCCTCAAGTGGTGGTCATGAGAGCTGGTCCCTTCACGTTCTGCTGGCCACTCGCCCCACAGTCATCTGGGCTCCATCGGCCAGACATCATACAAAGTCCCATCCCTGCAGACTGGCCTTCCCCACCCGGGTGCGGCAGCAGGTTCAGCAGTATCCATGCCCCCGACCCCCCTAATGCCAGCCCCATGCCACCTCCTCCACTGTCCTTGGCCTCTGGCCTCTGTCCAGCAAGCAGTCTAGACATCACCAGTGCCCCCCACAGGTAAACACTGTGTGGACACTCCTCTGCCCCTGCCCACCCCTTGCCAGGTTTCCCAGATGCTTTGCCACATAGTCAGAGGTCCCTCCAAATAAGAGAATATCATTTGGGTTATAGCCATGAATTAAAAACTTGGGGGAATAATTAATGTCAAGCCTCCTGGTGCCTCAACATCTGGAAATGAGCTCATTAATTGATGTTACAAAGAGCAGTATTGTAGGTGTCCGGGCCTCCCTTCCATCACTTAGCAATTTCAGTGGCTTTTTCTTTCATCACCATGAGGACAGTTTGGTGGGCTGGTCATAAAATGGGCAGGAAGATGCCCCCACTCAAGAGGTGAAGAGCCTCAGGTGGCCAGAGAAGGTCACCCAGGGCCCTAGGGAGAATCTGGTGTCTGGAAGAAGACCCTCCTCCCCTCTGGTTCCCCACTCTGCTGCCAGCAAGGTTTTCACTGATCCGGCTCTCGAAGGCCGGGGATCCACCCACGAAGCTTGGTTTGAGCACCAGCTCCCCAGATGCTCTCCTGGGGGTCCTTCCCCCTGCCCTATATACATTAAGTCTCTCCTTTCATCACCTGGGCCTGGGTAAAGAGGTGCCCAATGCAGGTGTCACCAGATCAAATACACACACACACACACACACACACACACACACACACACACACACCTCTACCCTCACCCCTTAAAACCTCCCAAATGTACATCTGAAGTAGAAATAACTGCCGTGAACCGTCTAAGCCACAAAGCACAGGCAAAGGGTATCCCCACACACACCCAGAGCCCTGGGGACTGATCAGCCAGGGGGGTCAGCTGGGAAATGCGTCCTAGAGACATGCGTGCATAGTCAGCAATGATCCAAGGTTTCTGGGACGGTGAACGTTCCCCACTGCTGGAGAAGGCCTTGTGGAGGAAGTGAAGGGGGACCATGTCCTGCTCTTCTACTTACATAGTGGGGACCCCAGGCACGTCTCTGAGCCAGGCTGAGCCTCTGCACTAACCTCTGTGGAAACCAACAGGAATAAGAACACATAAACCCATTCAACTGTCCAATTCTGCTTCCAGGAGTGAACCTAAGGGCAGAAAGAAATCACGTAGTTACATCTTTCTCTCCAGGGACATCTATGACCATAGATGGTCATAAACATAAGAGACTGAGGGAACAGACTAGGGCAGGGCCCTAGAACAGAATCTGCCAGCATCCCTACCATTGATGAAGGGAGGATATAGCAAAAACAGAACAATACATCCAGAATCTAAGAGCTAGGGGGAAAGTCTGTAATAACACATACAAAAATGTTAATAGTGAGTAGGGGGAACTACCTTCCCGTTTTTGTACATTTGCCAACTTTTTTTCCCCTAATGAATATTTATCCTTATTGCTGCAGTCGGGGGAGGGGAAGATTATGAGAGGGGGACCCCTCCACAGGCGCAAGGTGACCCCAGGCTCTGGCCACTCACAGCATAGCCAAAGTGGTCAAAGACACCCCCCTGCTTCTCATATGATGTGTGAAACTGGGAATCACCTGCTTGTGAACATTTTTGCTTCTTTGTGGATTTGCCTGGGAAATGGTCAAACTGTTGCAGTCCTGAAAGCTACAGAGGCTCCTTATCTGCAAAGGGTCCCAGCCTCGAACTGCTGCTCCAGCCTGCGGCATCCAATCACAGGGCACTGGATGTATCCTTTGAACAGAAAGGACACGGCTCCCTGTGTGGCGTCTGAGCCACCTGCCTCTGGGCACTGAATCTAGGGCCAGTCCGGAGTCTACCTTATTTGCAGCTGCTGGTAATTACACACTCATCCACAGCTCCACACACAAAACAGAAGGCAGGAAGGGGAGCACCCCTTCCGGGAGGACTCTAGGGGGACTTTAATAAAGACCCGGGTGAGGATGGGCCTTCCACTATACTACCAGTTAGTCGCCGGGTTCTTACCAGCCTGACCTCCCTCCTTCTGGGGAGGATGATAAGATTTGTGCATCTCCAAGCTTCCTTTATAATGAGATAAAGTGTGGAGGAACTGGTTGGGGTAGGGACTACCCTGAGAGGATTTACAGAACAAAATCAGTTCCCACAAATAAAGGCCAGAATCTAAACTAGACAGCTCTGGCCTACCGTTTCAGAGACCCACAAATTCACGATCTATGGCTTTGCTTTATTGTCTTCAAGGCAGGCATGTACAGGCAGCCACATCCAAGACTGTAACACAATTCCCTGGCACCCGTCCACCCATGTACCCGTGCATCCATGTACCCGAGCACCCACTGTACTGGATGCCCACTGCCCAGCAGGTGGTATGGCAGGTGCAGGGGCTGCACAGGAAAGAAGGCATTCCTTGCCCCCCGTGGAGCCTACAGGCCAGCAGGAGACCCAGGCATTGACCAATGAGCACACAATTTACCATTTCACTCCCAATGAGAAGTGCTCCAAATGCAGAGGGCTCCGGCAGAGTGCAGGACAGGCACGCTGGATCCGGATCAAGGCATCAGGGGAGCCCCCACCCCACCTCCAGCTGGGTCAGAATTCAAGCTGAGATCAGGAGAAGGGAAACACCTCAGTTTGGGCAGTAGGTGAGCAGTGGGGTGGGAGAAATAGATGAACGCGGTGTCAGCAAAAGCCCTGGGGTGGACAGGCTGGCCGGGAGACCGCATTCAGCCCACAGGGCATCCCATGTAGTGCCCGTGGCCACCAGCCTGCCCTGTGTCATAACCGCTCCCACCAGCCGGACCACACCAGGCTACACTTGACAGATGACAGCCCAGCACTACCGTGACTTTAGGACGGGGTGGAGGGGAGGATGCAGAAAGGATGTCCCCAAGCATGCAACTGGAGCTCTAAGTAGGGGTGCTGCCTGGGGTTGGGGGAGCTTTTGGGATCTCATCCTCCCCGAGAACACTCAGAGGAGCTACTGCAAGGCTGATGTCCCTCCCAAAGTGCTCCCGTCTACAGCCAGGGTCCCCAGGGCCCTGTGGCCACCATCTGTTCACAGCTCAGCCCCGTGTCACCCTAAGCCAACTGGTTCACTCCAACCCAATCGTCCCAGATGAGGCCTCAAGCAGGCCTGCTGGGCCCTGTGCCCCTACCACCCAGGCGGCAGGACAGCAGCCTGGGCCACCACTCCTCCTCTTTCCTCACACTCTCGCTTGCCCCTCACCACACAGTCCTGACGGTTCTGCCCCCAAAAGAAAGTCCCTGGTGTGGGTGCCCACGGGGGAGGTGCCTGGCCCCACTGCTAATGGACCAGAATGGGCCCAATGCTCCCAGTGCCAGTGCCGTTCAGCATCCTGGTCCCAAAGCACATCTCACCTCCTTCCTCTTCTCTCCCTCTCCCTTGCCAGCCAGGCCCCCGTCAGCAGCCTCCAACTGCAGTCCTGCCTCTCCTCCTCCTTCCAGTCTGCTCTCCACACAGCAGCCAGGGACAGCACGGTGAAGTGGCAGTCAGGGCTCTCCCTGCCTCAGAGGTGGCTTCCTCTGGGGCCTAACCCAAGCTCCATGACCTCCCATGAGCCGGCCTCCAGCCACAGGCTGGCTTCTTGCACCACTTCACCCTTACTCACCATCCTCCAGCCACTCTGGCCTGCTCTGGTTCCTCAAAGCAGACCGGCACTTTTAACCTCAGGGCCTTTGCAGAGGCTTTTCCCTGTGTCCAGAATGTGCCTCCTTGCCCCGTCTCTCTTCATTCCTCAGATCTCAACTTACAGGTTGCCTCCTCGAGGCAAGAATATAGAAGACAGCCTCTTCAACAAATGGTGCAGAAACATGCAGAAGAATGAAACGGAACCACTCTCTGAAACCGTAACACAAAACTAGATTCAAATGGATGGAAGATCTAAATGGGAGACCTGAAACCACAAAACTCCTAAAAGGAAATGTAGGCAGTCATTTTGGACATTGGCCATCACAACATCTTTCTAGATGCATCTCCTCAGGCAAGGGAAACAAAAATAAAAATGAACTATTGGCACTTGAACAAGATAAAATGCTTCTGCACAGTAGAGGAGACCGCTAACAAAACAAAAAGGCAGCCCACCGAATGGGAGAAGATATTTGCAAATAGACACTTCTCCAAAGAAGACATCCAGACGGCCAACAGACACATGAAAGATGCTCCACATCACTCAGTATCAGGGAAATGCAAGTCGAAACCTCACACCAGTCATAATGGTTAAAATCAACAACACAAGAAACAAGTGTTGCTGAGGATGTGGAGAAAAAGAAACTCTCGTGCACTGTTGGCAGGAATGCAAATGTTGCAGCCATTCTGGAAAATAGTACAGAGGTTCCTAAAAAATGAAAAATAGAATTATCATATGATCCAGCAATTCTGCTGGTTGTTTACCAAAAGAAAATAAAGACTAATTCAAAAGGGTACATGTAACCCTGCGTTTACTACAGCATGATTTATAATAGCCAAGACTAGAAAGCAACACAAGTGTCTATCAATAGATGAATAGAGATGTGATACATACATATACACACACACACATACACACACACACACACACACACAATGGAATATTAGTGATAAAAAAGAATGAGATCTTGTCACTGTAACATGAACGAACCTAGAGGGTATTATGCTCAGTGAAATAAGTCTGACAGAGAAAGACAAATACTATATAATTTCACTTATGAGAGCTAAAAACAAAATAATAAACAAAAATTCATAAATACAGAGAACCCAAACTGATGGTTGCCAGGAAGGAGGGGAGTCAGGAAATGGGCAAAATGGGTAAAGGGGCATGGGAGGTCCAGGCTTCCAGTTACGGGATGAGTAAGTCACAGGAATAAAAGGTAGAGCACAGGGCATAGAGCTAATGGTATCATTAATAGTGCTGTGTGGTGACAGGTGGTAGCTGCACTTGTGATGAGCCCAGCATAATGCAAAGTGTTGCAGAATCACTATGTTGTACCCCTAAAACTAATGTAACACTGCATGTCAACTATACTCAACCGCAACAAAAAATAAAGTCATATAGGGGCACATAGGTGGCTGAGCGGGTTAAGCATCTGCCTTCGGCTCAGGTCATGATCCCAGGGTCCTGGGATAGAGCCCCACATCCAGCTCCCTGCTCAGTGGGGAGCCTGCTTCTCCCTCTGCCCCTCCCCCTGGCTCATGCTTTCTCTCTCTCTCAAATAAATATCTTTTAAAAAAAGAAAATCAGATAAATTTTACAAAGTTAACCTAAACCTGAAATATAATCTCGTAAAGCATTTCATTACATATCTGTTTTGCTTAATTAATATCTATTTTATTTTACAAATGTATACGTATCCATGTTAGAATGCATCCCATCTCTGCAGCAAACAGTGAGTGGTAGGAACTTGATCATAAAACACTGCCTATCAGAACCTCCTGTTACCTTAACATTAGACCAGGATATCCATCACCTCAGCCAAGATCCATGGGTCCCCGAGTCCACCTTGTCTCACCTATAAAACATCTCATAATAGGGAGCAGTAATGATGTTTGTGTTAAGTGAATACCTGCAATCGCTCGTGCAAGATAACAAGCAAATATCAGGACGTCTCGATGAATCAACCAAACTCTTTAAACGACGACTGCCTACAAATCCGAGGATATAATGTCCTTTAACTTTTTTTTTGTAAGAACTGTCATATCAGAGAGCTTTGATTCTAAACTGATCGATATCACATTTGCTTTGTATGGAGTCATCTATAAGAGAAAGCAATAAAATCAAATGCTAACAAAAACTTTAAAAAAAAAAAAGATTTATCCTCCAAGAGACAAACCTCAAATTGCCTTCATTTTTTCCTACCATTTACAATTTTATAACTAACTTATTTGTGTGATTCTTTATGGCTATGTGTGCCCATGGGCTGTAAGCAGCTCAGCAGCAATGGCTGTCCTGGTTTTACTCATAGTTTTATCTGATCACCTGGAACCTAGCTCTTGGTACCTGACACATAATAGTTCCTTAGTAAATATTGGCTGAGGAAGAAATAAACCTCTTTTTTTAGGTATCATTCCTTTCACTTGGCAGAAGCCAAAAGGCTATCAGCTCATCACTAGGCTCATAGCACATGCCTACGTGGTAAACTTTATAAAGATTTTTTACTGAAAAGAAGACCAACACTGTATGTTAACTAACTGAATTTAAATAAATTTGAAAAAAAAGAGAGAGAGAGAAGACAACCGTATGTTTTACATGTGGATGGTCTGGCATCAAAATGGACTTTTTGCCTAATGCATGGTACTAGACTGATTCTAAACACACGTTTTCAAAACATCCCTGAAATGTCTGCACAGCGTATAACTGATGGTGTGTCAGAGTGTTGAACTGGCAATTTCTGCCTCAGGAGGAGATAAAACAGCGACGTGTCTTGCATTGACTGGTTCGCGGGTTCCACGGAACGCAGTATGTAAAGAACTCGGGCCTTACGTGGTCAGCTCGGTGGGACATCTATCTCTACGTAGGGCAGGGCCACTGGCCACAAGCACCCCATGCCTCCCTCCCAGATTCTGAGTTTATCCCACTGTCGGTGTCCCTCTGGATCCCCAAAAGCATTGATAGGACAGCCACTGGAGGGCTCCCCAGGCCTTCACAAGTCTGCCCACGTAACACCAGCCCAGAATGACCCTACATTCTCTGTAGGACATACTCTCTCTTTTAAAGGCCAGGTTTCAGAAGCTAGCTCCCCACAAGGCTTTCTCTGGGTTCCCGGCATGATGCAGGCACAGCCGTCCAACATGTATTCCCTTGTACCTTCTGTTATGAAGTTATTCTCCTTATGCCTCCCCTGTTAGCCTCAGAACCCCCTGAGGTCAAAGAGCATCCTTCCTGACCTTACAATCTCCTGAACCCTTCAGAGTGCTTGGTACATCAAAAGTGTTCAATGTGTCTGTTGGACTGACCCAAACGTCCCTACGTCTACAGCTGTTTGTCCAGAAGACCTTCCTGGACCATGCAATCAGTTCCAACTAAAATGTCAAAGATCAGAAACACGGAGAGAAAAGAAGTCTAGTAGCTGATTTCAGAAAAAAAAGAAAAGAAAAGAAAAGAAAAGAAAAGAAAAGAAAAGAAAAGAAAAGAAAAGAAAAGAAAAGAAAAGAAAAGAGAAAAGAAAAGTTCTAAGTCTCTGAAACATTCCTTTAACATGTGCAAGCATGCCTTATTAATTACCTTGCAAATGCTCATTGCAGGAAATGTCCTGATAATGTCTAATTCCTGATGTTCTCTGGTCTGACTGTACCTGAGTCCCTCATGCTTCAGCTACAAAAGATTAAGGTGGAGTGATGGCATTGGAAAAGAAGTCCCCTTGTGCCCTGTGCCATTTCAGTTACAGATAACCCTCTACGCGTGAAACTAATCCAAACCTTCCCTATTCCATATGAATCAGAAATGCCTAAATATCACCCAGAAAGGAAGGGAAGCAAATAATGCACACTTGCAACAGAAGTTTCTAGGACTCCATTCCCCGGTGTAGAGGACATATGTCATCCCCAGCCAGAGAGAATAGGGAAAATCGGCATCCGGTGTAGGGCCTGGTAGTATGGAATGTCAGGTGTCACTGGAGACCCAGACTGCGGGGACAGAAGCCAGGAGAATTGTGGAGAGCCCAGGCTTTCTCTCCTCAGAGAGCATACCTCCCTCGGAGAAGCTGCTAGAATCTGGACCTAAAAGCCAAACAGGAGATCTGGAACAGGCAAATCAGAGGTTTAAATGGAGCTCCTATGGCCTGAACTACCAGACAATGTGAAGACTTCAGCTTTGTCCAGTGTCACGGACCCCAGATTGCCCTCACCACGCCTCACAAAGCAGGGGTGCTGTGTGCTGAGGGGTGTGCTGGCAGGCAGCCGTGAGCTAGGAAAACGAACAAGTGGGCAGGTGTACAGAGGTGACAGGCTGTGGCCTTTGTACCCTGGGCACGAAGTAGCAGCACAAATAAATTTCGGTGCCTCCCGGTGCATTTGCCTATGTTTACCAAGCTCTTACTCTTTGCAAAGCAACAACATCTGGGGAGAGGTGTGATGCAGGAGGAGGAGGAGGTGTTCAAAGACGCGTCGGAGGACTCCTGCCCTGGATCGATGGACTCTGGGCAACAGGCTTGGGTGCCTGGCCTCTCTTTGCCAATCAAATCTGAAGTCTTGGGCACCTGGGTGGCTCAGTGGCCGAACATCTGCCTTTGGCTCAGGTTGTTGATCCCAGGGTCTTGGTATTGACTCCTGCATCAGGTTCCTCACAGAGAGCCTACTTCTCCCTCTGCCCGTGCCTCTGCCTCTCTCTGTGTGTCTCTTGCGAACAAATAAATAAAATCTTTAAAGAAAAAAAAAATCTGAAGTGTTCTCTTGGGCTTTGCTGTATCCCTTCAAACTATATCTTTTCTCCCAAAGGAGAAGGTGGACGTTCATACTAGACAAGAACCACATGGCCCACAGATCTGAGTGTCATCACAAGGGACCGGAGAAGAGGAAAGACTTTTCATTTGAGAAGACCTCTCTGTGCTCGGGATGTCTGGCATGTCTGCCAATGCAGATAAGACCAGAAGACACCTGGTCTGCCAAGCAAGCCAGGTGTTTCCAGAGAGTAAGACAACCCCTCTCCTGCATCATGTGAGTCTCCCACCTTCGAAGGCACAGGAAGCTGCCCCATATTTGTCTCAGACAGCTGGTGGAACAGTGTAAGGGACAAAAACGGTGTCCCTTTTTTGAAAGGTGACATGAGGGTATATGGGTGTGTATATATTATGTGAAGATTCTCCCCGATTTTATTCCTCTTTCCAACATAAACCTATATCGGACTAAAATATCCTCGTTTGATTGCCTTTTTTTAAAATTTTTAAACGTTAAAGCATTTGAGCCCATCAATGTGCTGTTGACCTGTAAGCAGTGGAGCGGGCTTGGAACTGCAGATGCGAGGGGGCAAGCAAACTGGAGCCGGTGTGTTCAGGTGCGCCACATTCCCCTTCAGTGGCCTGGACCACACATTCATGACATGCTCTTCCAAGGCTCCTTGCTTCTCTGAAGGAGACTCCTTCCTTGGAACTACTGGGACCCTCCACCTCTGTGTGTCCACATCTGAGCAGTGCCAAGCCCAGGCCCCACCTGCCCCGAGGCGCCATTCCTCTGTTGCAAGCCAATGCCAAGAAGTCGGACCACCCTCCCCCCACCACGTGCCCATTTCGGCCTCCCCGCCTCGCCTCCCGCCTCGCCTCCCCGCCTCCCCGCCTCGCCTCGCGGCTGGCTCCTTCCAGGGTGATCCAGCCGAGGCTGTCGGGTCAACCTTTCAGAAGAACAGTGATCATGTGACTTGCCTGTTCAATAGCACCGAGGACTCCCGCATGCAGGGCGGAGGGAGCCCAGGCCCAGACTCCTCGGATGTCCCTCAAGTCCGACCAAGTCCGTGAGACCCCGCGGCTCCTTCCTCCTTCCCACGGCCCCACGCCCCCCCGTCAGGTACCCCCTGAGGCCTACCCGGGAGAGTCGGCCACGCGGCCCCCCGAGACCCCGGCGCGACCCCGGCCCTGCGAGCGCCCGCCGGCGGTCCCGGCCGCTGTGCTCCGAGGGCTCCGTCCTCCCAAGTCCGGGGACACTGCTCCGCCTCTGCTGGGCGCGCCGCCCTCCCGCCGGCGGGGGCCTGGCCTGGGCGCTCCCGGGGGCCGGCCCGAGGCTGGCGGGTCCTGCCTCCTCCTGGGGAACCCGGGGCCGCGGCGGGGCGAGCCGGGAGGCGTCGGGGCGCGACACCCAAAACCTGAGAGCAGCCGGCCCGGGGCCCCGCGGGGCGTCCTCGGAGGCCGCCCGCCCCCCGCCCCCCGCCCCCCACCCCCCACCCCCGTCTCCGCCGTGTGCACGGGGGCCGGGCCCGCAGCCCGCAGCCCGCAGCCCGCAGCCCGCAGCCCGGGAGGTCGCCGAGGGGGCGGGGGCAGGGCCGGGCCGGGCCGGGCGCCGGCGGCGCGCGGGGGAAGCCGAGTCCCAGCCCGGGCCACCCTGTTGAATCCCCGCTGCAAACTTCTGCCGCCGCGGGGCCGCGCCGGGGCCGCCCGGGGAGGGGGCGGGGGCGGGGCCGGGGCCGGGGCCGGGGGGGCGGGGGCCGCGCCGGGGCTGCGGGGCTGCGGGTGCGGGGCTGCGGGTGCGGGGCTGCGGGTGCGGGGCTGCGGCGGGGCGCGCGGCCGCTACTCACCCGGAGGGTTCACGGCCGCCGGGGCTGCCATCTTGCCGGGAGCCGGGAGCCGGGAGCCGGGAGCCGGCGCGGCGCCGGGAGCCGGGCGGGGCGGAGGGCGGCGCGGAGCCGGGCCCCGGAGGGCGGGCGGGCCCAGGCGCCGCCGCCGCCGCCACACAAAGGCCGGCGCGGGCGGGCGCTGCCTCCGCTCCCGCCGCCCCGCCCCGCCCCCGCCTCCCGGGCCGGCCTTTGTCGCGCGGCGGGGGGCGCGGGCCGCTGCTCCCCGCCGCCGGCAGCACCGCGAGACTTGCGGGCCGCGGGACCCCCGGGGCGGGGGGCGGGGCTGGGAGGGCGCGGGGGGGGCGGGGCGGGGGGCGCGCGGGGGGGGCGGGGCGGGGCGCGGCGGGGCGGGAGCAGCCCATTAGGATGCGGAGCGAAGCGGCCCTCGGAGGCGCGGCGGACAAAGGCGCCCAGTGCGGCTCCCTTGGCCCGCGGGGGCCGCGCCGCCTGGCTCCGGGGCCGGGCCGGGCCGGGCCGGGCGAGCCCCAGCTCTGCGCTCCTCCGGGCGCGGGGACCGGCTCGGGCACCAGCCGAGGCGGCCGCGGGAGCCGCACGGACGCAGCCCAGCCGGGCGCCGAGCAGGTCTCCGAGTGTCCGCCCGCACGCGCCGCTGAGGGAAGGCTGCGCGGAGCCCGGAGGGGCCTCAGTTTCCCTAAAAGCCCATACATAGCTCTTAGGAAGAAAACCCACCGAGGCGGTGCGGTAGGTGCAAAGCCCGGTGGAGGAAGCACTGCAAACCCCCGGTGACACGGCCCCCCTTGTCCAAATGTAGACGCTATTTGCAAAAATACCAGCCTGTCTGAAATCCTTCCAAAGAAGCATTGGGGGTTCATGGGGGGCGCGGGGGTAGAAAAACAGAGCTCAGGATGTATTTCCAAATAGGCATTGTCTTTGGGGAGTACTTGCACTATTGATCTGATTAATAGGCGCTTAATGATATCCATTTGGTTATCGACGGGGCGGACGTTGAGTGCGTGCTGTGTGCCAGCTAGCTGCGGGCTGCACCAGGGACAGAGGGCCGCTAGGGCTCTGTCCTCCCCCCCCCCCCGCCCGGGGCTTCTGGCCTGGGGGTGGGGGCGAGAGGTGTCCAAGGAGATATGTGCACCCAGGACACACACAGCTGCCCGGTGGGGAGGGGTGGCTGCTGAATGAAAGCTGGCAGAGAGACCCTGGAGTGATCAGGGAAAATGAAAAGCAGGCTTTGAAGAAATGAGCAGGATGTGGAGAGGTGGACGGAGAAGACCTTTCAAGCGAAGACTCACGCCTTTGGGCACCTGGCGCCACGATAGGCCAGGCTCTGGGAGATCATGAGAGAGAGCAACCCCTGTGTCAGCTGGGCACCCCCAGCATCCTCGTATCAAGCAGAATGTCCCCAATTCTCCCAACATCCGGCCAAATGAGAACCCAGCCTCTTTTCTGCATACAAGAGGCAACACACTCAAATACCCACAGGCACTTGATACACATATATACTTGACTGAAGATTTCTTAAGGAAAGTGCAAGAGGAGGTTCACCTTGTTCATGCCACATCAAACAAGCTAAAAATCCATCCTAGATGTTCCCTTTTTGGCCCTGCTCCCCACCGGACAATCTCCATACAGGAGAGCCAGTATCACACACCCCCACTCCACCCAAGCTCTGCACCTTCCCACTCTCCACACCCCTTGGAAGTCAGCATGTTCTCCTTGGGGTTTCTCTATCAGCCCTGACATGTGGCTCCCTTGGATACTGTCTGCAAGCAAATATATTTGTAATGTTCACCCCCCCAAAAAAAGAAAAGAAAACTGGGCTGAACATAATGTATCATCACATACACACACATATAACATGGACCTACATATTTCTTCTCGACAAGATTAACTTTCTTGCTGTACTGAGCGCTCCTGCCCATTTTCTAAATGATACTCTGCTGATACCTTTAATCATTCTGTGTGTGTCTGTTGCCATAAAAGACAGCACGTGGCCAGATGCTAGAGGCTGGGATGCTTCCACCATCGGCTTCAAGTCTGTGGTGCTGTGGTTTTCAGTGGGTAAGAACATGTGTGAATTTAATTTCACCTTCTCCCTGAGTCCCTGAACCTCTGAGGTGGTTGGTTTTTGCCCCTCCCATCCGAGTCCAGCCCCCAGAGTTTGCAGATTAGGGAACCAAGGAGGCCCCAGGCCCCGGGGTAGAGGATCCCAAGGTCACACAGCTCTGCAGCCTGGCAGGACTTGGAATAGGATCACCCACAGTGCTGAGATTTCATGACTCGGGGGAGATGTTGTGAAAGGTAGAGAAATAGGTCTCTCTCTCTCTCTCTCTCTCTCTCTCTCTCTCTCTCCTCTCTCACTAAATAGGTAAATACCCAGAAACATCGATTGTGCTGGAGAGCCCCCACTCTTAAGTAAACAGTCTGAAATGGAGCGGTTAGTCATTGCTGGATACTGAGTGGCGTATACTGAGTGGCGTTTACACAATGCAGTGGTCTCGTGCTAATTATGAGAGCTAGTAGACTGTGACCACTTAACAGGCTCAGGAATCCCGCTCAACCTTTAAACAACCTAGAACTCTTTTAAATTCCAAAGGAGGCTGCTGAATGGAAAGCTGAGATTTGCATTTTTTTTTTTTTTAAAGGAACGGAGGCAGAGGCGCTGGGCCCACAGAATGGAGAGTCCTGCTCCCAGAAACGGCCTGGGCCAGCAGCCACGGAGCTGGTGACTCCCCGGGGGAAGTGGCCGGTCACCTGGCCCCACTTGTCACATCCCTGGGAGTTCAGCCACCAGAGACAAGACTCCCATTGTAGGATGTGTGACAACCCCGGATTTTTCTCTTCTCTTCACTTTCAAGATGGCAAGAGGCCGGGAATGAAAGCAGGGCCTTCGACAGACAGAAAAAGACTGTGGAGGGGCAGGTAGATGAGCTGCGGATCTGCAGACGGGGGGTGTTTCTTCCCCGCCCCACTCTGCCCAGCCCCTTTCTCCCTCCCTCACCCCTCTGTTCTTCTCAGCTTCTAGCTCTTTACTGGGCAGGAAGGCCTGTGGGGCTGTTGTTTTGTCCTACACAGGCCCTGACTACCCAGAAGCCCTGTGTGTAAGCAGCCCCCCCACCAGCAGGTCTCCCCTTTACTCTCAGAGGCAGGGACTCAGCCCAGAGCCCAATGGGACCCTCAGGTTACAGAGATAGAGTGTGGCCTTTGAAGCAGAGAGTGTGGCACAGGTGTTCTCTGTCTCAAATGTACCCTGCTATGCCCCTGAAGCTTTGTGAAGCCTCTCATGCCTCAGTTTCTCCACCTGTATGGCAGGTGACTTAGAACCTCCGTGTTGAATGCTAATGATAATGGACTCAAACGTGGTGATGTACGTGCTTTACAGACTTGAGAGGTTTCACAAGCCTGCTATGATAGCCCGGCAGAGAAGAAGGGACGTGTGGCAGGACCCCCACCGGAGAGAGGGGAGGGCCGGGCAGAGAGGGAGGTAGAGAGAGAGAGAGAGAGAGAGAGAGATGGGAAGGGGCAGCACCCTCATTCTGCCCTGTGGAGAGTAGGGAGAGGAAGAAGGGGAGGGAACAGGCTGTCAGCCGCATGTATTCTGACTTCCATCTTCAGGCCCTCCTCAGACAAGCTGATGGAAAAGCCAACCGCAGAGGGCTTTCCCCGACCTGGAAGCCCAGAGAGGTATACCACACGGGATGGTCCTGCAGGGATTGGGGGATGCAGATGTGCTGCTCTTGCCCCGCTGGGCCTCCTCCACCTGCTGTGCTGGGGACCCTTACCTTCCCACAGGTGAGGGGACCTGAAAAAACTGAGTCTGGGCTCCTGGCTCCTGGGTGAGGGGGATGAGCAGGCCTCAGGGAGCAGGGTTCAACAAACAAAGCTCCACACCAGGGCCGCAGATCACAGCCATCACCCAGGCCTCCTAAAGATGCCTTCAAGTTCACCAGCCAGGGGAGCACCCGAGCCCCTCGGAACAGAGGTGAGTGAGAATCCTAGGGCCCCTGCTCCCCACCAGGCCCTCCACCACCACCCAGGCACCACCCTGGGAGGGGAGGCAGCAGGATAAGGACCTCAGGATGACTGTGCATTCCATCTGACAGAGACCACCATCTCCAGAAAGACATCAGTGCTCAAGAGTAGAGTTTAGTTGGTTCAAAGGAGTCTGGGATGAGTAGGTTCCTGCCCCTGCCACTAGTACAAAGGAACGGTCCAAAGTCAGAACATAACAGACACACACATCTATGGTGAAAATGCCCCATCTGTGAACTCTCAGGGATCAAAACCAAGTAGCAAGGTGTGAAAAGAATGCTAGAAATTCAAGAAGAAATGGACAAAAATCTACAGGGCAGTGAAGTCTTTAGCTAAGCTCTTCCAGCATTTGATAGATCGAATACACAACAACTAATGATTGGTGTGACACGTGCCGATTTGAGGCTTCTGGTTTATTCTTAGCCAGACTGTAGCATCACGGGGTCTGTTCCACTTGACCTAGAACATGTCCTCCCTGCCCCCAGGGGGAAAGCACACAGCTGGGATCTGGTGGGTTTAGAGACGATATTGGACCATAATTCGACAGGCATGATCTTCCTCCCCAGAGATGTCCGTCCTGGGGGAGCTGCATTCAGGCCAAAAGAGCCCAGTGTCTTACAGCCCAGGCTTCTTCAGGCGCTGGGGCAGCACGTGCTTGCCACCATCTCTGTGAGGTTCTTGGGCTTTCTCAGTTGTGGCGGCATCCTGGTGATCTTTCCTACTGCACGGAGCAGAATAAACTCTACAGTACTCTCAGGGGAAGGCCTCAGAAGCCAGACATCCCATGTGCCAACACTCCACTTACCTGCCCTTTGGCTTAGACTCTCTGTGCTTCAGTTTCCTCGTCTATGAAATAGGGATAAAACAGTACTTACACCATATGGGTTTTGTGAGAACTCCGTGAGCTAACATTTGTAAAACGCTTAGAACAGGGGCGCCTGGGTGGTTCAGTTGGTTCAGCATCTGCCTTTGGTTCAGGTCATGATCCTGGGATCCTGGGATTGAGCCCCACATCTGGCTCCCTGCTCACCGGGGAGTCTGCTTTTCCTTTTCTCTTTGCTGCTGCTCCCCTGCTTGTGCTCTCTCTTTCTCTGAGTCAGAGATAAATAAATAAATTCTTTTAAAATTTTTTTTAAAATTTTTTTTAAATTTCTTTAAAAAAATTTTTTTTGAACATGATGTCACATGTGGTTGGCAAAATGTATTTGTTGATATTATGATTATTATCCAAGAGTTAGGTTCAGTAGCCAAGGATGAAATGGGGTGAATTTGGGGAGGGGGAGGAGAAATTCAAAACCATAGCAAGTGACAATTTGGAAAATAGTGTAAAGATGACTGTACATCAAAAGCTAACCCCAGAGAAAAATTCACAGCTGCAAATATTTGATTATTAAACAGGAATAAATGAAAATGAGTGAACTCCATTCAGGTTAAAACGGTGGAGTCTGTCAGTAAGGACTTGCTGCTTTGTACATGAGAGCTCCCCAACTCAAACTGGTGCCAATGGAAGAATCCAGAGAAAGGTTGAACGACCCAGACGTAACCAGTTGTTACACTTCAGGAAAACTGGAACCGTGCATCTGATCATCACCAGGACTCATTGTGCATATTTTCTCTCTCTCCTTACCACTCCCATGTCCTCCACGTGGGAATGACCTAGCTCCTGACATGTAGAGTCAGCACAATCTCTGGTTCCCACAAACGGAGAGGGGCTCCAACTCTTCCTCCATTATGAAGTTGAAGGCTGGGGCCACCGTGGCTTAGATGCCCACCCCTGGATCAACCACATCTAGGGGGCAGGTGACCATGACCATCCTGGCGGAATCCTGTGGCTTGAAAGAACAGGGATGCTATCCCCAGAAAAGGACACAAGGCCCTTTCCACAGATGGCACTACAACGTGGGGAAAAATGATCTGAGATAAATGCAGAGACTGATTTTGTAAGAAGTCAGAAACGTTTATAAGAAGGAAAAAAGAAGGATCCAGTGCTGTAACCCAGTGGGAAAATGAGGCCTTTGAAGAAGAGACTCATGTAATGTTTGAGAAGATAGCAAAATACATCGGGGAGAATCTTCAGCCACTGGTCGACAGGCCAGACAGCACCTACTGTTTCAGGCTGCACAACAACCAGGTGTACTACGTGAGTGAGAAGATCCTAAAGTTGGCCGCCAACATCTCTGGGGACAAGCTGGTGTCGCTGGGGACCTGCTTTGGAAAATTCACTAAGAGTCACAGATTCCGATTACATGTCACAGTGCTGGATTACCTTGCACCCTATGCCAAGTATAAAATGTGAATAAAGCCTGGAGCAGAGCAGTCTTTCCTGTATGGGAACCATATGTTGAAATCTGGACTGAGTCGAATCACTGAAAATACTTGTCAGGGAGTGATGGTGTACTCCATGGCAGACGTCCCTTTGGGTTTTGGGGTGGCAGCAAAGTCTACACAAGACTGCAGTAAAGTAGACCCCATGGCAACTGTGGCATTTCATCAAGCAGACATTGGGGAATATCTGCCAATGAAGAGACATTGACTTAAAACTAAATCATCGCGAGGACTTACGGCTGTGTGGAAGGGCCTGGCTTTGTTTCCTGTGTCTGTGTAGGCTCCATCATCATGTTGAATTTTGTCAACACTGTGACTTCTTTAGGGACTTCTTAGTTTAATATTCTCACTATTAACAGACAAATGCAGGTTGGATTCTTATGCGGAAATGGCTCAAAAATGGTGTTTCAGATCTTTGTGTTTGTGACTAAAAAGAATACTGTGTTTTATATTTAAATCGGAGGGCTTCTTGTTTTGAGTAACGGGTTCTAAGTCATTCGAACTGAGGACAAGAATAGCTAGCTTATTGTTATCTGTGATAACACTATTTTCCAAACTCATGATAAGACACAATAGATTTTCTTCATTATTTTTTAATACCATGAAAGTTAGATATCGCCGTATTAGAACGGTAGGTCACATGTGAGATTTTACAAATGAAATTTAGATAAAATAATATTGATTTTTTTTCTGCTAATTTTCTATATAGTAGATGCTGTGTGGTATACAAGAAAACCTTGGATTCAAACCCCAGTTCTGACACTTATCAGCTGTATGACTTTGGAGGCATCATTAAACTTTAATAAGCTTATTTTTTTCTTCTGCTTCCAAAAACAGCTTTAACCATCTACCTAAGAATGGTTTTTAGAATTAGAAATCATGTTTGTAAAGCACTTAGTCCAGTGCCTGTCTCATGTTAGGTGTTAAATGGAAAGAATTCTTTTTATATTGCACATACTGGGTATTTCTATTACTAGGGATAGGATCTCATGAGTATAATTTGAGTCTATATCTTGGTTCTTATTCTTTTTCTTAGATGGTATGGTCCCAGGCTAATGTTATTTTCATCACCTTGATTTCTTAAAAGGTGATTTCCCTTACAAACCTTTACTTACCTGACTGGACTAGACAGAGAGTGCTAATCAGACACTGAAATAATTCAGCTCCCTCTATCCTTGCCCACTCCTGGCAAAATTATTTTTGAAATTATTAAAATGTTTTTTTAATTTAAAAAATTCCACTAAGTTTTAAGAAACTGCCTGTATTAAACATTTCTTTAATACACTGCTTTATTTTTTTCCTGCTTATTTTAAATTCCAAAGGTGACATCTCTAAAAATAAATGTTTCAAATAAAAAAATAATAATAAAGAAAAAAGAAACATCTATGAATTAGTCCAAGGGTAGAGTCTTTGGAAAGGACCTCCATGTATCCACCTATTGGTCCCTACCCTCCCCACCAACAATCGTGCTCTGATAGACTCCAGCTCCTTGTTGCTTCTGACATCCATTGCACACTGTGATACCTCCTTTCCCCTCTCCTCCAGTGGAGATTATGTGGCTTTCTCGGTGAAGGGGCTCCGTGTCCCAGCTCTCCCCTCTTCTGGCACATACCCCACTGTGCTGGGATTCCCATCCTCTCTATGCTTCTTTCATTTAGCTGTGAGCTTCTGCCTTCATATCTTTGTTTCTCCCCTGGCATCGTATCCTGAGGCACAGGACATCTTCTAGTATGATGGAGTGAGTGGTTGACTGTCTTATCAGACGACAGTGCTCACATAACCCAGCACGCCTCCTGTTCTGTCCTCGCAGCAGGATGTACAGTGAATGCTGCCGAGCGTGTTTCCCTCTGCGGCAGCTAACACGTTCCCAGGACTTCTCTTACAACTCTTCTTGGCTGGGCTTTTATTATTTTTTTCCTGCTATAATTCTGATCATATTATATTCAAAGCTACATTGGTTACTCTTGGAGAACAAGAGGAAAATGAGTATGACAAGGATACTCCGAGCTCGGTGCTCTACTCAGTGAGTCCTCGTGCTTCCCAAGTACATGAGAAGGAGCTCAGCAGCTCCATTCCCAGCAACAATTGTAACCCACCGCCCCGCGATCAGCTCTTTCAAACTTTCCAGTCGCTTTAACACCATGATTCCACAGGCTCGGACGTTTTTGATTCGGCCTCCTTAGTGATGAAATGCCACATATGTGAATTTATTCCAATTTTAATAGGTAGCCACTTCCCTGTTGGTATTAATCCATTTTGGAAACCCCCCTAAAAAATGACAATTTTTTCCCCCAGCATAATAAGATTCTCTGACTGTTTTAGCAGGTAATTCTAAAGAGGCGCGTTTGAGCTTATGTTATTTATAAAGAGGTTATGTTATTTATAAAGAGGTTGTTATTGCTTAAAAATGCCAAGTGAATTAATGGGGTTGGTTAATGATTAATCTCTCTCTCTGCAAGTAATATTCAACATTCCGTTGGCGTCCACACTGGTTACTCTGACACAACACGCCCAGACCAAGTTCATTATCCAGCCAACTGGTCTGCGACTGCTCACTCATTAGCATGCATATTACCACAAATAGAGGACAAGTGACAGTGACTCCCTCCCTGTAGGTCACAGTGATAGAAGGAAATAAGCACGTTTCTGTTTACGAGCATTTATTTTGAGCACATGGGGTCTAACTCATTGAAGGGTTAAATTTTGGTCGTCTTCTTCTTCTTCTTCTTCTTCTTCTTCTTCTTCTTCTTCCTTCTTCTCTTTAGATTTTGGTCTTCTGAAGATCTACTTATTTTAAACACAGTTTTAGAATTGAACTTTAAAAAAACATCTCGTACACAGATTACAGGTAAACCTTAGAAACTTTCCCATTGCCCCTGCTTGCTGTATCCATCAGGAGACTGAAGGTTAGAGATGCACCTGTTCTGGACCGTGTTAGCATCCTGGGCGAGGTGGGGAGGTATTGGCTGCAGGGAAGGCAGGTCAATCACTGTTGCTCTATTGTTGTGTCCCAAAGGATGACATGAACACCCACTTTCCCCATTAGCAGGGGGTCTAGCCTTCACAAGTCCCCCTCCCTCCCCCCAGCCAGGCATCTCCTGGGGGTTCTTAAGAAATCTGAATTTCCCACAGGTCTATCTTGGGGCCTCACCACTCCAATTAGCCACCTCCTCATAGCATCTGCTCCAGGACTGTCTCCTGGTTGGCACCTGTCTCTTCTGGGGCCCCTGTTGTACTTCTGCTCTGCTAGGCACTATTGCCAACAGAAGGCCTGCCATGGGGTAGGTCTCTGCCTCCTCTACTATCAAGGGCAGTTCCTGTTTTTCCTTAACCCCTGCAAGGAGGGCTGGAACCCAAAAGTATCTCCAGCCCCTGGCCCAGGTGCTGACTACCCCAGAACTGGCCATTCTATGTGCTGCTAATTCATCTGCCACTTGCACTGAAAACCCACTTGCTATCAACTAAGCACCAAGCCAAACCAAAGAACGGGGTTATGTTGGTGCCACTGGCCTGCCTGCCTCCACGCACACACCCCTCACCCAAGTGCTCCAGCCTCCTCTACTTCCTCAAGTCCAGAAGTATGATTTCTTCCAGCACCCAGAAAGAGGAGAAATCCCTCCTTATGCCCCTGATTTAGGTCACCAACTCCCCTCGAGGACTGAAGGTGGCACCTGAATTCCCTTCCTGACCTACAAGTCTATAGGTTCCTCTCTTTGCAGCCTCAGCAAGACAACAGTGAGACTAGTAGCAGGATGTTTCCCTACGTGTGAGTTTCTCCATCTTGCATAGGATTTTAAAGCAAATTCCCTTTTGTAGAAGAAAATTCATGTAGGATGGTGGGGTGGTTGCCAGGGTGGGGCTGGGTCTCCTCATCCCCCTGCCACTGTCTGGTAAAACTATAGCAACTGCATTGTTGAGGGGAAATGAGCAAGAACATGCATAGGAGAAAGTGCAGATCTTCACGTGGACTTTATTTCATCTCTCAGCTTCTAAAATTGTGATTTAAAAAGAATATTTGTCTACAAAATCATCTTTGGCTTTATTATCCTTGAAGGGAAAAGTAATAATATTAAAAGTAATAATCATCCCAATATTTGCTGTGAGAACCATCTGCCTTTGCCCTGTACAGACCCCTGGCACTTTGTTTGCACACCTCAACCTCACGAGGACTTGGTCAGACAGTGAGCGAGCCCCAGGATGTGAGCATCCTGCCTGGTAATGACACATCCCAGACACTATTGATATAAGGTGTCCTGAAACCCTCACTTCCTCTTTTTTCTGGGGACAGGCATATTCCTCATTGGGAGATTCCCTTGTTACTTTCTCAGTGGACATGGAGAAGAGCCCTTTGCTGGATTGGCATGGTTGTTTCTGAGCAGCAGAAAATTCAAGTCCGGATCCTGGGTTGAGACTGAGATCAGGGCTAAACTCAGAGGTAGAAAGCCAACACGAAACATAAAATTGTCTAAGGCAGGTGTTGACTCAAAAGCTCTTTCTTTTCACAAGCAAAAAGAACAGGAATAGAGAATGTGAGACCTACTGAAGAGAAATATATATTTGAAGAAGAAGGAGGAGGAAAAGGAGCAAGAAGAGAAGAAGGAGAAGGAGGAGAGGGATGCACTTGG